GTCAGTAGAAGACTTTAGCTTCTTGTGATGTAATCAAACCTAAAACACACAAAGAAGAGTTAGGATTTTTTTTTTCTTGAATTCTTTTGTTGTTGTTGATTTTCTAAATTTCTGAGATATGAATCTACACTTTATTAATTCTATTATTAGCAGCACACCCCTGTTAGTGAACCCCCCCACCACCAGCACCACTGAACAGTATTTATATATATATTTATTATATTTGAACAGGTGGGATGGAGCTCAACAAAGGATTATCATACATTTGTTTGGGTTGAGGCAGTTCATGATCCTCGACAGACAGAAACAAGACAGGCTGTCTTTAAAGGTAAGTTTCACTTTCTCTGCGTAGCTCAAACAGTCTGGTTTTTGTTTGTCGTGTACACTCCTTCTTCTGTGTCACGTGTACACTCTGCGTGCACAAACAATCTTTAAAATCTGTTCTTTAAGTGACTGTAGCAGGAAGATGGACCCGGTTTAATCCTGTTTTCTATCCAGTGGATTTATGTTCAGATGAGATTTACTTCAAATGTAAAAGAGCACAAATGCTTAATTAATCCCAAAGGGAAATCAAATAATTTATAGTAGATATATATTTACTGATTATGGATTAACAATGGAGGTTGTTGTTTTAATTAGTTTTAAACATTTGGTAAATATTGTAAGCATAATTGCTTTTTAATTCATCCAGTTTAAAAATAAGGGGATCAGGTTTCGGGTCCCATTGTATGACAACAAACCCTTTACATTTTAGCTAAACTTTAAATTATTTCTTATGTGATTTTACTTTTAATAAATGTATCTTAGCCTATCTAGCAGTTTATATTTCCTTAAAATAAAAAATGTTTTGTGTTTTAATTTGCAAATATATTATATATGTAAAGCAGACTTTATTTTTATACGTCTGGCAGGAGGTGAAACTGATCTGAATGGGAAATAAAAGAGCTAATTTCTGACTCGATATATGATTTATGAAATGTATCTAAATGCATGTACATCCATATAACCCGAGTCCTGCCATTAAAGCTCTGTTTATTTTAACAGAGGCTGTTGCGGCACCGATATTAACATTTCTGCATATTTTAGCAGTTATATGGATAAAGGTAGAGCAATGATTCCAGCTCACAAATTTCACCCTTTTCTTTTCAGAATATTACAAAAATGACAGTTGGTATATTCTTTGGTAACTGTTTTTCTAAATTTAGCATCCCTGCTTACAAAAAGCATCATGTGTTAAAAATAACCTCCAGGAACAAACATACCTGTAACGTGTCAGGATGTTGCATCCATTTGTTTGCTGTGTCTATCTGCCATCAGAGTACTACCTTCCTAAAGACGAGATCGAGTTCTACCAGTTCTGTTACATTGACAACTCGGGGCAGGTGCGAGGAGCCAGCACTCCCTTCTGTTTCAGAAATCCATCAGAGCAAAACGCAGAGAGCATCGAGGAGGACGACCTGCTGGTTATCACGACACAGGTATCGCAATCACATTACAGAACTAAAGTCTTGAATTTTAGATGTAGTTTAACTAATGGCTGAAAATGACCACAAATAAATATAACGAAGCAATTAGAGGGTTTCCTTTGTTTTTCAAGTTATTCTTAGAAAACTGGAATGCCGGGCGTGCAGGCGGTGCAGTAGTTAGCTTGCACTCCCCAAACCCGGGTTCGCATCCGACCTGTGGTCCTTTGCCACATATCTTCCCCCCCCTCTCATACCGCCTTTCCAGTCATCCTAGTTTCGAAAAAACGAGCCACTAGTCCCGTTAAAACTCAAAAAAAAGAAGAAAACTGGAATACCTTTCCTTACCGTCACAGCTATGATAAGTCAAACTTTCCTAATGCTGATAAGAGTATTTTTTCTTTAGGGTGAGATAATCTGAACTGTGATATATGAAGAAAATATATTTCAGCCGATTCTGTCTTTGGTCATTTTCATAAAGTTGTATCTCCCTGGATTTATTTAAATAAACATGAAGCCAAGAAGTAGGGAGACATATGTCACCTGTAGTGCTTAAAGTTATCATTAGGTAGTGTGCATCCTATTTACAATTAATAAACAAACCAGTTGCGTTTAAAACATTTGTTTTTTCAATGTTTCTATAGAAATATAGTAGCAGGGTATTGAAAGGCTGAATCTGCTTTTTTGTATTTATGAAAAGTCTTGGTGACTATTTCTCATATTTTTTTCACACTCAGCAAATAAACAAGTACAGATCAAGGACACTTTAAGGACATTATTTTTCAGTTTTTAGTGCCATTTATTTCCATTTACTAGTTGTCAAAGTTAAGTTGGAGATTTTATATTTCTTACAGTATGTTTGTTTCCCATGCTTCATATCAACCAAACTTTTTAATTACCCTTTAAAGTAGTTTGGGTTTTGTGTTCTTCTCTGAGCTTTGGTTGGTTGTTTAAATCCTTGAAAATTAGTTAATGTGAAGGATATTTTAGTCAAGAGATTCTTTTTAAAAAATGGTTTCCTTTAAAACTTTATTGTGGTTGATTATTTGCGTTCAGGCATGCAAAAAGTAGATTAATGCCTGTCGTATTTCACCTCAGGACCAAGTTGAAAAGAGTCGGCGGGAGAAAGCTGAGCTACAGGAACAGCTGGAGCAGATGAGAGCAGAAAATGAAGCCTTAAAAAGTGCTCTGCAGAAAGACATGGGCAGCTTTAAGGTAAGAGCATCTGGGTTTTTTGAAATGAAATGTTTGTTCATGGTGCAACAGAGTAGGACATTGAGCTTTAAAATGAACTTTGATATGCTGATGTGGTCCGTTTGATTTATTCAGGAGCAGAATGCTCAGCGAGAGGAGGAAAAGGCTAAGCTGGTCAAAGACATGGATCAGGTGAAGGAGCAGAATGAAAAACTCAAGCAAACGCTGCAGATGCAGATGAAGGAGAACGACCGTTTAAAGGTGTGTCATCAGTTCATAATGAAACCTCGACCCAAATATCAGGACGGAAGGGAAAAAAAGCTAACCTTGAAGTTGCTGCTACTTTGCTAGGAGGAGATGATGATCCAGATGACCAAGGAGTTGGACATACAGAGACAAAACTCTACAGAGCAGGAAAAATCAAGTCTGTCTTTGAGAAGTAATGAGGTAAGATGGTATGGCTTTGTCATCGCAGCGAGATTGGGGGAAAAAAAATGCACCAGCCTAATCTTATTCCCCATCTGTATCATTTGTTAAGGAGAGATACGATCGAGCTGTGATGAAGATCAATCAGATGAAAGAAGAGCGTGAGGAGCTGAAAGGGAAGATTGTGGCACAGAGTGATGAGATTACAAAGTAAAATATTTTTAACTAATTAAATAATTTAGTTGTTTTTATTGATGTATGTAGTTGGTATTAAGTTTCCCAAATAAACTCCCTTTCAACCAGCTGTCTTAAGAATATAAAGGTGATGTTTCATTTACTCAGAATGAACATAAGAATTCTGTGAAAGCCTGCGGGGGCGGGTTTTAATCCCCTTTTGTAGTGCCAGAAAACTTAATTTACTCTCATTTTTTTAATATTTTATTGAAGTTTTTGGATAATTTAGAGCTGCTCGCGCTGTTTGCTTCAGGTTCTAATCCTGCTTTACACATTCAAACCTTTCCTTGAAATTCTGTTTTGTGTTTCAGACTGAAAGCTAACCTCAGAGAAAAAGAACGAGAGTTGTCAAAAACCACGGATTATATCCAGCTTCTGCAGGTAAACTACTTTGGGCTGCACTTATTTAGCGCCTTTTCATTCAAAATTGTAAAAACAAATACATGCTGCTATTGATAAACTGTTATGTTATAATTTCACCATGAAGTAAAACTAAATATATATATTTTTGTCTTATTTTAATTTCCAAGATTTATTTACTTACTTATAGATTTTTCATAATTAGGTTTTAGTTTTTTGACACTTTTATTTTGTAATGCTACTTTACAGATTTCTATGACCTTTATTTTTTAACCCAGTTTTTTTTTTTTTTTTGTCAGATGTTTTTTCATTCATATTTTATATTAAAATGAGGGGGCAGGGTTTTATCTGTGTGGCAGCGCTGGTCAGAGGTCAATATTCAGGGGAAAACAGGAAGTTCCTTGCAAAAATAAGGAACATGAGAACATGCAACAAAAGCCTTCCTTTGCAGAAAGCCTCTGTTTTGTTTTCTAAATTTATCCAACTGATTTTCAATGTCTGAAAACAAAAGTACCTCAGACTAATCGATAATTTGATGAAGTTGTAGTCATGCAGACATCGCTTCAACGCATCAAGCCGCCCCACAGATAAAACCCTGGGTTAAAAAATAAAAGCAACTGAAATAGGCTACGTAGTTGCTTTTAGTAGCTTTTCAAAATAAAAGTTTAAAAAAATAAAACTCACAACACTATGAACTAAATAAATCTGGAAGTAAATTAATACATCTTGAAATAAATTAAAATAAGACAAAAATGTCTTTGAAATAAATAAATAAATATCACCATTAATCAAAACTAAGAAAATATTTTAAAAAGATATTAATAAGCTATCAATAGCAGCTTTAATTAATGTTGTCAAATTGTGATTGAAATGGTTCTCCTTACACAATGAACTATAAATAAAATAAACATTTTTAATATTTCAAGTAGATTTAGACCACAATAACCACTGGAGAAGGGCTAGTGAGAGGTCAGAGGTCAACCTGGGGTCACTGAAACATCCTGTTCCCTGGGGGCAAAGATAAGAAAAGATAACTTCTCAGTCTGCACTGAGGTCTTCTCCCATTGGACACGTCCCAAAACAGCTTTCTCTTAAGGCATCCTTATAAGCTATTTAGCTTAATTTCTAGCCTTAAATATTTTCACTTTTTGTTGCAGTAAGAATAGCAATACATTAAATTAAAAGTAAACAGATGCCCAGTTTTAAAACGGTTTTAACGAATGAAAATCTGAAGAGTGAGTCGGCCATTCACTCTTCAGTTTGGGGAATGAGCTTTTGATTCAGATTACAGCCGGAGGTCCTGTCCTAAACATCAGTCAGTTTAGTTGGAAATCATTTGTAGATGCAAATATTCAAATTTTTACCAACGTCGCTTTGTTTTAGGTCTAGACTTTTACCTGGACAGCTCTGGCTACATGTTTAGCCGAATCCAGGTGCAGGTGTACTCATTGTTCAGCATTTTGAATCTGTTTGCCTCAACAGGTTGATCTTCAGAGTACCAACAAAGAGAATGAACTGCTCTCTGCAGAGCAGCAAAAGCTGCTGGGCCTCAAAGGCAGCATGGATGAACTGAAAAGGGAAAACCTGGAATTACGTACAAAGCTCTCACAACTAGAATCACTGCAGAATGCTCCTCAGGATGAGCTCAGGGTATATTAATTTATTCTTTAACTCTTCAAAAATCCAGCTGAACACATTTTAAGTAGAAGTAACATACTTAATCAATCCTCCTCTTTAGGTGCAGTGTCAGACTCTCACTAGGGAGTTGCAGGAAGCGCTGACAAAGCTGGTGACGGAGCGGGAGGAGACGAGGGCCATCAAGAGACGAGCTGAGCTCTCAGAAAGTGAGCTGCAAGATGTGAAGGAGCAGCTGTCGGGTTTGGCCCAAAGCTGTGATATAGAGCAGCGTCAGAAAAGCAAATATGAGGTAAATTTAAATAGGATTCAGTCTGGATTCCTTCAGTGTGGAGGAGGAAATATTAGCCTTCTTATTCCAAGAATTTTATCACTTCAGTTTGGTTTTTGAAGAAAAAACTCAACTTATAATGACAATTAAGGGTTTGAAATATACTATTAACCACACTAAAGCGTAGTTCTCAGCAAAATAATTGGCTAAATAAAAAAATAAATGCTTGCACATTTCAGCCGACAAGCAAAATAAGCCCAACTTAAGTATTGTTCCACCTCTATTCTGCTCTTTCTCTCCACCTTTTCTTTCTACGTCTATCTTCCTTTACCATAAAAGGAACAATAAACTATGTGGTAATCATACAAAATGTTTGTTACTCATATTTGCTTCAAATGTTCCCATTTTAAGTTGCTTTAATCATTAGTCCTTCATTTTTCTAGACTGTAATTGTTTGTGTTTATATTGAAAAATATTTACACATGGTTTCTAAAAGTAAAGGACAAAAAAGAAAGAAAAAATGTTTTCTTGTTACTATTTTCTTGGTTTCCAAACCTACATAAGTCCTTCCAGCTCTTGCATTCAAGCAGCAAAGGTTCATAGAGCTGGTTTGGTCTGGTGGAAAGTATAAAACTAAATGAAGGGTTCTGACAAATTTGGCTGTATATAAAAGATGTTTCATTTGTATTTTCTCAGATGCAGGTCATGGAGATGAATGAATTATTAGCAGATAGAAACATCGCAATTCAAGACAAAGAACAAGAGATTTTGCTAATCAAGCAGGAAAGAGATGAGCTTATTAGAGAAAACCAGGTATGTGTAGAAAAAATGCACAACATCTGTGTTCCTTTCGTGGTTTCTGTTATCTGAGCTGTTTTTTCTTCCAGGGGCTCAAGGGTGACGTGGAGAGGCTTCGCGCACTTTATACAAACAGCCCAACCACAGCTGAGGAGCCATCATATGTGGAGCCGGAGCTCCTCGTGCCAGGCGGTGATGGTCTAGCCGGCCAAGACCAGCAGCACAGACCGGATCGGCCTGACAACATATATGAGACCATAGGTGAGGAACGCAGACGTTCTCCAGCAGAAGATTATCTGCTGCTCAAAGCAAAAACAAATTCAGTTTTGCAAAGATTTCCAGATTATTCAGCAATTGTTGTATTTTAATGGGAGAGTGTTGGCGTGGTGGTTAGAGCAGTGCGATTGTACACTGAGAAGGTTGCAAGTGGCTGGTTTAAACCCCACAGCCTACACTCTGGGCCCCTGAGCAAGACCCTTAAACCCATACTGCTCCCCGGGCGCCACACAGTGGCAGCCCACTGCTCCCCAAGGGGATGGGTTATATGCAGAGGTGAATTTCTCCATTGTGGGAATAATGAAGTTCAATTATTATCAGTTATTATTATTAATACTCAAGCTCTTAATAAAAATATCAATATTAGATATTACTGAAGTTTTTAGAGACACTGGGGCTGATTTCTGCTCGATTTTGTAAAAGCTCTGACTCTGATTTTTCTTTGGGAAATTAAAATAACAGGTTAAATAATTTGTTTTCTTTATAGGTTTAAATTGGAATTTTTTAATCTGGAAAACATGTATTGTTAAAATTAAGTATTCCTTTAGCGGCAAATGTTACATATTACAGCTTACCTGTCTTTCCTGGGCTACAGATGAAAGTTTAGAGCATATAATGCTGGTGATTGTCTTAAAACAGCTTAGATTACTGATTAGTGATGTCAGAAGTATTTACCACCACCCTCTTTAGAGAGGGAACAGGTGACTCCCAGTCCTTGATGATCTGTGAGACACTTTGTTTTAATCTTGTAACGCAGCAGTTTGTTTGGACTTTGTTCGCTGTGTGTGATGAAACCGCAGCCTTCAAACCAAGCCTAGCGAGGTGTGTGTTTCATAAACAGCCCCGCGCTGTGGGATTCCCCGTCCGAGCGTGGTCATTTGTGATGCTAAATATTACCACAGCTTCATCTTAAATACCAAATACAAATCCAACCTAGATTCTAACAAGCTTCAGAAACCCAACAGGATGAATTTCAACCCCTGCTCTCCTCTCCATAAACTAACCTGCTGTGGTTCTACTATAATATGAAAGCAAACGCTTGGTCTGTGCTGCAATTAAAGTAAGAACTTTGTCCCTTACGACATCCTGGAGGCATTTTGTTATCACAGTTCGACCTGTAATGGTCAATGTTCCTATAAATCAAGAAATGAAACATCTCATGTGTTCTGTTGTGTTTCTATTTAGCCAGAAGAGCCTAAATTAAACTATTATTACTTATTTTTTGACACAGACACATAAAAAGAAACTTTTTTGTACTGAACCAGTTGCCCTTCATCCCTATTGATCATATCACGTTACCATCTTTAAACTGAAGTTAAAGACATTGTAAAACATTTTTTAATGCTGTACCTTTGAATTATTTCTCTCTTACAGATAGCATGCAAGTAGCGCAAGAAGAGGTGAGTAAAATAATTTTTTTCAGCATAAAATGGTGTTATCTCCTATTCTGACTGTTAGATCCTTATTATTAATGGATAAGGCCTGATGATCTGCAGTTTAATTAAAACATTAGTCGGGTCACAGTCTTTACTGTTTAGGTAGAATGGATCATTTTAATAAATACCTTTAGAACATCTGGACTAGTGTTCTGCTAATGTATTTTAGTCATCGTTTGTTACAGGATCCAGTACAGTTTCTACACTTTTAGATGTATGATACTTTAACTTTAGGCTTTCATAGTTGAACTATTTCAAGGTAGGATAAAGATAAAGCATAAAAATATCTGAAAATGTGTGATTTGTGTGCAGAAGTTTTAAAGCGATTGTGTTTCTAATCCAAACAATCAGTCATAGATATAGGTTCATTCAGCCTTAGTATTTGATGGAGTTATTTGGTGAGTTTCTGGTGAATTCTTGGCTGGATATTCATCAGCTTCTGTTTCCTGAACCAGTAGAATTATTATAATATTGGTAAATGTTCTAATAAAAATACAGCTTCTGTTCAAATATATATTTTGAAATGTGGGTGTTGAATACTTTCTTACGGAAGAGGATTAGGGCCACTGG